GTGTGTGTGAAGTTTGAACTCGATCAATCCAGGCATGTCTCAGATACAGATCCAGAACTGAATTCTTTAAAACAAAATGGCCGCCAGTCGGCCATTTCAAACCCGATCCCAAAAACAATGACGTGCATCAAGGTCCTATTATGTTTAATGTATGTACCAAATTTGAACAAAATCCGTCCATGCATAACTGAGATCCGGGTCCGGAATGGTGAAAAAATGCGATTTTGATGCATTTTCGGTCTTAAAATGGCCGCTATTCGGCTATCGTTAATCGGATCATGAAAAAAATGCATGTGCATATGTCCCATATAATGTACTAGGCACATGCAAAGAATGAACGGAATCGGTCCACAGGATTCTGAAATACGACTCTGGACAGAGTGACACACGGACGGACGAACACACGGACAGACTCAGGAACTCATGGATGATCGGGGACATGTATCCTAACATATATGATCTATGTACTAAATTTGAATGAAAACTGACAAAGCATGTCCAAAATACAACATTTTCAAAAAACAAGATGGATGCCAGTCGGCCATCTTTGATCCAATTGTGAAATAAATCGTCATGCACATGTATCCTAACATGTATAATCTGTGTACCAAGTTTGAATGAAAACTGACAAAGCATGTCCAAAATACAACATTTTCAAAAAACAAATCGCTAAACCACTGCATGTGCATATGTCCCACATAAAGTACTAGGCACATGCAAAGAATGAACAGAATTGGTCCAAGGGATTCTGAGATATGACTCCGGACGGACGCACGGACAGACGGAGACCGAATTATAAGTCCCCGAACGGGGACTAAAAATAGCTCCTAGACGCTTTGACCTTTTGTTTTTAAATTTTCACAAATGATTAACAATGTGTTTATCTTCAAAACGCCGTCAGGGCATTTTTTTGGGTTGAACAGAGTTACAACAATCGTACAGACAACTAGCCTGGGTGTTAATTTATGCATAAACTTGAAGTAGTGAAATTTGAGCTGCTGCCCTACAAAATTGACAACTAGTAGACAATTTTCAAGACGACACTTTCTTCATAGTAAACAGATGTACCCGTAAACCAATTTTGATAGGAAACAGAAGCATGGTTTAGAAGCTTTTTTTTTTAAATCACTTTTGACCAAAAAAGCACATTTTTGTGCATATTTCAAACTACAGTGTCCCTAAAAAAAAATACTAACAAAATTTTAAAATTCACACAATAAGCTTTTCGAAAATATATAGCTTTGTGGACAAGGGAGGTCATCTTGGTTTCCTAATTAAAATTCCTGTCAGGCAAACTGCATCTCTACCTTAAGCCCTGTCTGTATACATGTATGTTTTCATTCTTAGTGTTTTAGCACAATGATAGATAGAAATTGAACGACCATAGCTTATTTGAAATGAAATAAATAATGTTGAGCTTATTTGCATAAAATAAACTCTTTGATTTTCCTAGGCAGGTAGTACTAATTACCCAAAACACAAAATTTATTGGAGGCAGGGGTCTAATATCCTCAGGTTACTGCTGTTCACTGGAACTTCACATTTGAAAATAATATCATTAACTTACAGTCATTCTTGGTATAGAAGGTTTTGCTTTTTTTCGAGATATTACATTTCTAGTTCTGATCAAGTCATCAATCCACTCCTGATCAAGCACTCGTTCTGATTTTAAAGACTTGTTTTGATGTGAAATGTTACTCATTGTCCTTGGCTGAGTAGTAAGCGATGGTGTTTCTGTAAACTGTTGATTTCCATTACGAACTAAAAATTGTTTTTTAGTTGCACTCAATCCTGATGAATTCATAGAAGGAGCTTCTTGAGGGGCTGTCTGCCGATACCAGCGTTTGTGTAACTGTTGATGATCCTGTGGTGAATTTGTACTATGAATATTACTCCCACGTGGTAGATTGTCTAGAAGACTGCTTGCATTTGGAAGTTCAAGTTTGGTCGGATGAGGAAAATGTTTTTTTTCTGTAAATGTGTGTTGGTGCGGATGACCATGTGAGGCAGTTTGCTGAGATTGTTGCCATGAGTTCTCTTCGATTGACTGTTGTGTTTGCTGCATGAATGGGGGTGGTGGTACAAATCGAGTCATATCTACTTCGAATTGCGGTGGTGGCGGCAATGGGGGTGGCTGCATCGCATTTAGGGGAGGGGGAGGGAAATTAATTCCTGAAAATTTACTCTGGGAATCAGGAGCCACATTTGGATACCAGTTGTGAGGTGCATTGCTAAACATAACGGTGCCCGTAGAACTACGATTATGTGTGGGTCTTTGTTGCTGTACCAACACTGGCTGATCAAGTATTCTCGGAGCACTGTCAGAACTCGAGGATAACACATTATTTCCAGAAGAACTAGACGCATAACTTTGATCATTACCACTAAATCCATGATTCCCTGATAGCTTCATTGAGCCAAAGTCTGAGAAGCGATGTCCTTCGGGACCAAACATTCGAGATGTCATACGCCGATCCGCCATTTTGAGTGTACAACAGAATAGCGCCCCCTTGGTCTCGCACAATCTCGATATGAAAAATGAAATAAAATATTGTGTTACGCACTGTCCATTGATATTATAGTGATGCTGGCAATGCATTAGTATTTAATATATTTCAGAACTTCGCAGGCGGTATTACTGCTTACTCTTATTTCCATAAAATATAAATAACTCCAACTCTCGCCCAAGTCTCGTGTAACTTTTTAAAATGGCTGACGATGAAAGGGGTCGAAGGATCCTGTCTGATCTAAGCCTGGCGTTTACTCGGGATCCATCCATGTAAGTTCTTGTATGTGAAGTGATTCAAAATACATTTCACTGTGAAGGTTATTCGCGAGCTGAAATATCAAAATCTAATAGTTTAAAGCTCAGTATAAACCCATTTTTATCCGAAAGACGATCGGAGAAAGTGCGTTGACCCGGTCTTGATTTGTATACGTAATTATATTGATATTTACGAGCAGGTGTATTCATTTGTATCGATTCAAGGTAACGTGCTGGGAACTAACATCTATACTAATTCCACGTGTTCTGAAAAGAAATTGCAGCAATGTGTGTTGTCTACTCGTACTGATCTGGCTGATCATTAAAAGGGGGTGTGTCCCTTTTTCTAATTCATCTACATCCATGAGTGCTAGATCCCTTAGTAGCAAATAAAAAGCCATTAATTATGGTAAAGTTTCAGTTCAATTTTAGATGCATGCTTCTTCAACTGCACACACAAATTTTCAGATGTTTTCATGAAAAAAAAATTACTTTAACTCTCTGGCTTTTGGTACAAAATAAAATCTTTGTGAATTCATGCAAGTTGTGACTGTCAATAACCTAGACAAATTGTGAGCAGCGTCTGATACTGCTTTTACTCTATTTTGTGTATGAACAAATAACTTATTTCATTTCATTTCCATTGTCACAGAGATGAAGTTGGTTTTATTCCTTGTCCGGAGGCTTTGCAGAATAGAAGTCCTATAATTTTACAAGAGCATAAACTTGGTTTAGAATCATGGTGTATTTCACTACTATACCAGTATGCTTACAATGAACTGCTCCAAGCCAGGGAGAAAACAGTTCGATTGGGTAAGTTGAAAAATCAGCTTGAACCTGAAAGACAACTTTTGTCACATTTCACAGTATACAATTTTTCATATTTTTTTTCAACAATTTCTATCAAGACCTGTAGCCATTTGGAAATTATGGCCATTTGATTCAAAGTTGACAAAAAAATGATGATAAAATACAGACAACAAGTGCAAAATGTTCACCAAAATTTCAACGGAAAATATTATTGCCATCAAAACATTTTTATAATTTTTTTCTGTGGTCACATATATACCGATAGTTAACAAATTAATTAATTAATTTAACAAATTACTTTCTTGATCATAGTGATGTAGTTATGAGGAAATAAACACATAATATTTAAAAAAATTATAATTGTTATTCTTAGTTTTCTCATCCCTCATTGAGACTAGGATCCTGAAATGTCATTAATTTCTGTTTTCTCCTATTATTTATAGTGCCGAGCGATCTGATTGGATGCACTAGAGCGGTGTTAATAATTAACCCAGAATGTTACACAGTTTGGAATATGAGGTAAAATATCCACAGTCAAGATTCCATTACTAGCGCTAATTAAAAAAAAAATATTATTTTCAGTCTGTTTGGACCATATTGTTTTTGTTCAGCTTTTCCTTCTCCTTCCACTGTTTCTCTGTTGTCCTATAACATGGATATTTTTGCCCATAAACTTCTGAAGCACATTAGGGACTATGAGAATGGGTGCACCTAATTTTTACAATTTAGATTGGTTGATTTAGCAGCCATCTTGGATTGAAGTTAAACAGAAAGTGGACATTTTGAAACCTTTCTGAGGGCATGGGCATTCTGAATTTTTCGTAGTAGCATTATTGATGCTACCTATTTCACAAATAAATTCATTAGTGGTTATTTGACTTTTTTCCCCCAAAAAATGGCAAAAAATCTTCTTCTTCAAAACCACTGAACACATAGATCTAAAATTTGTTTTTTTTTATGATCTTTGATACTTTCAAATTTTTAGGAAAGAGCTGGTTTGTTCTCATAAATTAGATATTGCAGCAGATTTAAAGTTCAATGGCCTGATATTCACAAGACAACCGAAGAGCCCTGAAACCTTTGCACACAGAAAATGGTTGTTGGTGCAGCTACGTCAGCGTCTCCAAGAAACAAAGGATATGATAGATGCGAAGGACAGTGCTAGAAATCATGATGAGAATGGTAGACATGTTGTCGGTAATCACCGTGGTAAGGAAGACGTGGTGATAAGTGATAGTATAGTGGAGAACGAATTCAAAGTGTGCACTCTGGCTGCCGAACATTACAGTAACAACTACAGTGCATGGTCTCATCGTATATGGGTGCTTCAAAACCTGGCAGTATGTGATGGCAGGGTCAGTATTGACGTTACAGCCATCTCATAAAATATTAATACGTCTAGTGTATCATTACCTATTGCCTCTATTTAGAATACAAAATGGTCGCTCATGACTTCCAATTTTCAAATAATGTTGCTAAGGAAGCAGTTTACATTCAGACAAATGCAGTGCCCTATATGCCCACTTGTTATCAGTCATACTAGTGCTAATTCAAAATACTTACCCATAATTTTTCCATCCAACATTTTGGTACAACATTTGGCTGATATTTAATTATTTTCCTATCAATTTTTTGTTAATTTTGGACCAAACGTTCATAATTTTCTGTTGTTTACAGATCTTGATCATCATTACAAAATATATTGTGGAAAGCATGATGTGGGTTTATTTTGTTAAAGGTGACAAAAGTTGACTTTAGCTTCACAGGAAGATATGTTTATTATTGTCAGGATAGCATATGGTTACTATGATTACTTCTGTCTATTCCAGACCATCTCATCTGAATTGAGTAAGACTGTTACACTGGTCTCTATGCACATATCTGATCACAGCGGCTTCCACTATCGACAGTTCCTAATCCAGCAAATTGGTAAACTCAATCAGCGTGGCTTGGATAGTATTTTACAACAAGAACTACTTCTTATCAGCGATTTAATTGACAATTACCCCGGACATGAATCAATATGGTATCATAGGTGAGTACGTATCCACAGTCAGAGTAATGTCATAATTATTGACCATTTAGACTAAGATAAGCTTCCAAGTATTCATTCGATATAACACCAAGTTTTTGCAAGTAACTTTCCACTAACTCATGGAAATGTGTAGTCACTTTGTGTAAATTTGTCGAAACATGAGCTGTTGACAGTGTGTGTCATGTACAACTTAGAATGAGCCTGCAGTGTTACTGACGTAATTGAACCACATATAACTTGCATTAAGACCATGCAAATCGTGTGTTTAAAATGCTGTTGATGGCAGCATTTTCAATCAAGTTTAGGAACATCCGTTACTTTGGATGAATTATGCATTTGTTGTAGAGGTCTCTGAGACCTAAGAAAGTGCATAGAATGCTGGCTATCAGGACAGTAAAAGTGAGATTCAATTCCTGATGATGATTTCTGGAGATTCAGATAACCTGTTGAAAGGGTTGAATGGGTTTATGTTGGGTGCCAAATAAATTCAGATAACCTGTTGAAAGGATTGAATAGGTTTATATTAGATGCCAAAATAATTCAGATAACCTGTTAAAAGGGTTGAATGTGTTTACGTTGGGTGCCAAAATAATTCGGATAACCTGTTGAAAGGGTTGAATGGGTTTATGTTGGGTGCCAAAGTAATTCAGATAACCTGTTGAAAGGGTTGAATAGGTTTATATTGGGTGCCAAAATAATTCAGATAACCCATTGAAAAGGTTGAATGGGTTTACATTGGCTGTCAAAATATTTCAGATAACCTGTTGAAAGGGTTGAATGGGTTTATATTGGGTGCCAAAGTAATTCAGATAACCTGTTGAAAGGGTTGAATGGGTTTACGTTGGGTGCCAAAGTAATTCAGATAACCTGTTGAAACGGTTGAATGGGTTAACAGTAGGTGCCAAAATAATTCAGATAACTTGTTGAAAGGGTTGAATAAGTTTACATTGGATGCCAAAGTAATTCAGATAACCTGTTGAAAGGGTGGAATGAGTTTATATTGGGTGGCAAAAATAATTCAGATAACTCATTGAAAGGGTTGAATGGGTTTATATTGGGTGCCAAAAATAATTCAGATAACCTGTTGAAAGGGTTGAATGGGTTAACAGTAGGTGCCAAAATAATTAAGATAACCTGTTGAAAGGGTTGAATAAGTTTACATTGGATGCCAAAATAATTCAGATAACCTGTTGAAAGGGTTGAATGGGTTTACATTGGGTGCCAAAATAAACCAATCAGAAAAACTGGGAGATTTATAGGTTTTCCTGACCAGGTTATTTTGGTGTGTGCTATATGACATGGAAAGCTTGCCCATCAATTAAATTTTATAAATAACACTTACACAACAAACACTGTTTGTTTTACAGGAGATTTGTCTTCCATATGTGGCATCATTTACAAACGCCAAAACAAACCAATGGAAAGTATGAAAATAGCGTTCATACACCCAAACAAACTGGGGATGACATAAAGTCAACACGGCAAGCGGCTTGTCTTGTATTTGATATCACTGATAACCAAGAAGAGGACAGCTTTCCTACCAATCCGTGTGAGAAGAAATTTCGTGCTGATGAATCGTGTAAAGTGCAATTAGGTGTTCAAGAAATGATTGCCAGTGAGATTGAGTTTATAGAGAAATGTTTGAAATCTGTTTACCCATCTGATTACCCAAGTCAATATAGATGTGCACATGCGTACAAGAAGTGGTTACAGTTCTTTTATAAATGAACAGAACAAAATTGTCATGTGTTTGCTATTTACATTGACTTATTTTTTTATTATTTAATATATGCAAACGCAGATTTCATAATGTTTAGTTTTTGTAATATTTTTTATTATTCTCTCATTTGATTAAATTATTTTTTATTGCATTTTTAGTAATTATTGTCGTTTTTAGCTCTGCTGTCGACAAAGTCGAGCGGAGCTTATAGTATTATTGATTGTCTGTCGTCATTGCCGTCGTCAACTTTACATTTTCGACTTCTTTTTAAAAACCACAAACTGTATAGCAGTAAAACTTTCTAGGAAGGTACCTTGGGTGGTTCTCTCTCAGATTTGTTTATTTCGTGTGGATATCTTCAATTGTCTTATTTATAGCGAATATTTTTGGTCAAAAATGCTATTTTCGACTTCTTCTTGAAAACCTCTAGCCTGAATGCTTTGATACTTGGTATGTAGGTACCTTGTGTGGACCTCTCTCAGATTTGTTCATTTCGTGATGATATCTTAAATTCTCTAATTTTGATGAATATTTTTTTCATTTTTGGTAAAAAGTGATATTTTCGACTTCTTGTTAAAAACTGAAAGTCCAATTACTTTGATATTACATATCTAGGTACTACATGTGGACCTCTCTCAGATTTGTTCATTTCGTGATGATATCTTTAATTCTCTAATTTTCATGAATATTTTTGTCATTTTTGGTGAAAGTGATATTTTCGACTTCTTGTTAAAAACCACAAGTCTAGTTGCTTTGATATATACTACATAGGTACTACAGGTAGATCTCTCTCAAATTTGTTCATTTCGTGATGATTTTGCTCTTCAATTATCTAATTTTAATGAATATTTTTGATAAAAAGTTTCGAATTTTTGTTGAAAACAGCAAGTCGGATTGTTTTAATAATATACATATTGTTCATTTTCTAATGATATCTTCTGTTCTTTAATTGAAATGTGCATTGATAACAGCGGAGCTATCACAGCCGACAGGCTGTTAGTTTTTCCAATTTTCATTGGATTTTATTCTCACTCATTCATCCCTTCAGCATAAAAAGAGAAAAACAAGTCAAAATAAAGTACCGGTACTTACAGTTTGTGATAACTCTTTGACCTTTTGACCTTTGCTTTATTAGTAGTGCATATGATAACATAAATAACAGAGGTGTGTCTATACAATACAAGTCATCCAGCATACAATAAATCTATTTTTGTTTCACACATGCTTCTAATACGGTTATAGTTTTTCCAAAATTGTTATCACATAATAGTCTGGATTATTACAGAATGTATCTTGATTTGGATGTATTCGTAAGCCTAATTTTGCTGGATAAAAATTACAATATTAGACAAAAGACCATTAGAGCTTGTAGTGTTTCAAACTATAGAGGGTGCAATTCACGTCCACAGAGTCCAAAAAAAAATAAAAAAAGTGGATGAACCTGATAATGAGCATGGGTCAAATGATTTTTCAATCAACAAAAATTTACTGGAAATGCTTATATATCCATCTTCAAAAATGTTTTTTAGTACATGCTTTTTAGACTGGTTGTATATTTGTATGGTTTTATAGTCTCCCTGGAAGAGCGCCACCAACGATGGCAATAAGTAAATTGTAGTTTTCCAGTCACAACTTGCTGGCTTAATGAGATTTACAAGGTACTATGACATCTCCAAAAACCTGTCACCTAATCATCACACAATATATAGAATTAATGAACAGAAAAAAACAAATGATGTAATACAAAAAATAGAGATAACTTTCCTGAGTATAAGTTAATATAAGTCACTTTTGTGACGCAGTAAATGACAAAAGTGTTTTATTGGTGGTCAATGGTCGTCGATAAAAGACGCATTTACTATATAATAAATACCGAATGACAACACAACCAAGCACAATATAGATTTGAACAACATTTAAATTGTTTTCACCCATATACCTCATGTTGACATCAAATAATTTGTCGATTGAGGGCGCGATTTATTTGAAAGATACACTGATTGAATCCCTACATAATGATAATAGGTAAAACAGACATACATTATACTCTTTTTTTTATTAGATTTAATTCAAAACAGATGTCAATTTGACAAATATATGGAAATAATTAACCAAAATATTTTTTCAGCAATAATCCCCGTATTACTAGTACACCAGGAAGATATGAAAATAATAAGAACGTAAATGCGACACCTGGTAGAACACGGTTACTATAGTGACGATGACGTGAAGACATACACAGTGTTCTGCAGATTTAGGAATATAACTACTAAACATATTACATTATTGAAAAAAAAAAATCAGTCAAAGAAAAATGTGTTTAAAAAACATTGCACTCGTACATACATAATAGCTAGCAGTCATGAGACAAAATGATGTGGCGGGAAATCTCATTAGCTGCCTAATAATACAATTATATCGCCCTTTTCAATAAGCGCCTCAACGCGTTGTATCCGGCGCGTTCCCACACGATGTATACAACACGTGCTACTAGCAAATATCTCATTACATTGTGTACTTTATTCTTTTTTACATAATAGTTACTCCATAGAGATTTATCCTAGATATTGATAAAGGCTACATTGCCCGAAACGTCTGGTTATATTGACAAAATACTAATGACTACTACCATTATCTATACATTATTTTTATCGGTCCTAACAGCTTTTGTTTGGGGTTTCGTGTAAATTAAATACAGACTCTATTGTATTAGAATCCGGATGCCAGCTTGGATCCTTCAAAGTTACCCTAAATTCAGTAAAACGAATAAAAAAAGAGAAAATAGAAATTACATGAAATGAAATCGATTCGGCTATAATTATAAATGGTCGCCAATATTTAGACGCGCTGTGGGACAGTTCTGTGTTTCATACATCTATTGGATCTATTTCCATATGAATCCACGTTAAAAGCACGTACATTTCTCGCAACCCAAGCACATTCAGACCAACAAATATGTCATATATTAGTCCCAAGAAACCGATAAAAGAACGGATGTCGGATCCTGAGTGGTACATTGTGGCCATTCGACCTAATAATTATATTTGGTGAGCAAAACTTATTGAATTCTTGTCGCAAATGTGGTATTGAAATGTATATACCACTATGTATAGGTCCGCGCTCGCGACTTCAAAACCATGTACATGTATAGAGGGCGTGTCACTGTATAACCGGCTTCTAACATGGCAACAATTTGCAACAATTTATTCATTTTTTTTGTTATTTTTTTTTTGCACTGTACAGTCAATCAAGATCAACTGACAAAGCCATGTTCTAACTATTAAATTTTTCTCAATTTATATAGAGAATATAAATCGTGAATCCGGCGATCTGATTGGTGGAGGGCGCTTAGCCATGTTAGAAACTGTACTACATTGAGAACACAAAGTTTTTGATACATTTATACGTGAAAAGATTCCCCAATTTTTGAAACGGCTAAATTTTTGCTCTTTTTGCTCACCATTTACGACAAGAACTGATTTGTCAGCAAAATTTTGTTAACCGAATTTGGCTCACCAAAACTGTTTTTCTCATTATGTTTTGATCACCTCGCAAAAATGTATTCCATTTTATTTTGTTTTCGGTTTATGTCGTGCTGGAGGTTAACATCGTTTTATATTACAAATATCAGAGACCACTTAAACACCTTTTTAGTGGTCTGAGCAACTATCTAGGAATGGTACTCCCCTGTACCATTCGTGCACAGGTACGAAACTATTGGCGCAACAAGCGAAACACATTGTTACGCCCTCTATCGCACAAAACCTACTCCAAGGTTGTTGATATGATGATCTACCAATACTGACGTATAGTGCCGAAATCTGGGGTTTTAGAGAATGTAAACATCTGGAACGAGTCCATCATCTTGCTTTTAGAATATGTTTGGTGTGTCCAACAGATAAGGTGCGTTTCACCAAATAATGATATGCTATGAGAATGTTGGGGATATCCTATCTATTGTATACATAGGAACAAAACGTATTGCCATGCCAAATTCAAATGCTACAATATGCTATACAACAATCTGGAACCGGGACAAAGAATATGGATCAGTGACATCCGAACATTACTTTTTATTTGCAACATAAATAATACTTGGCAACCCTACTATTCCGACTATATTATTCCAACCCATGTACAATTATTAGTTCGGCTACGATATTCATCACATTGTTTGCGTATTGAAGTCAAACTGAAGTACATGTATCTAGGAAAATACGTGCGAGCTTTGCAATATAAATTCAAGTACCGAGGAAGGGAGGGGGGTCTCTGAGAAAAAACATGCATGGTACGCAAGCTGGAGTAAACAATAACGCGTAAAAGAGGTGTTATTTAGTTATTTGACGCATATACGCGTGTACCGTGTTTAGGATCGAATATTTTAAAATATATAAATAAAGTGTAAAAAAGGAATCTCACGAATTCATACCTAAACTTGAAAACAGTGTGATTTTAGTGTGTATATATACGGTATCTATTATAAGTTTATGCACTTGAAAATGGGTATAATTTCACAAAAATAAGTACGTGTTTACAGCTTTTTTTGGAAAGCAGGTCTGGGATTCAAGTGAAAATGAATTCCATTTTTTATTAGTTTATAGCTACTTCTGCGCCCACCGAATGAAAAATTTTAAAAACTCAAATTATTCAAAACTCAAAATGATCTACTTTTTCAGCGTTTACCTGAGTTTGCACTTAATATTTTGAACATCAGAAGAAAAGCCGCTGAAAAATTGTAAATGAAAAAAAAAATATTTACTATTTTAAGCGTAAAAAATCTATTGATTCGGACACAAGTCATCCCTCATTTTTTAACGTACTGCAAAGTCTATTTCACAAATAAAGATTGACAAGGGGAAATGCGAAAGTTTGGATCTATTTCAATAGGAATCCACGTAAATGCGCCTGTTCGAATTTCGTGTAAACAAACAATTTTACACGCATTGGCGTACTATTTCATACAAAATATAAATAGTATACACCAGAATTTTCTGATAATTACCAATACGTACCAATCGTATAACTACATATCGTTATTTCAATATGAAAATACCGAATACAAGAATATGAAAGTTTGGTGACCAGTGTTTTATTGGAATTTTGCTGGGATATATATTAAAACAGCCCAATAATATTGTAAACAACAAGAGGATCTGATAGTATGTTAAATATGTTGTTGTTTGGTTATCAGTTGCTCAGACATAGACGTTTAGACAGATGAAGGCATTAGATTTACTAAATAAATAAATAAATCTTGATGTATCTCAGACTGTAATGTGCCAATGGAGCGAGAGGAATACCCGTAATTTGATATCAAAGTAACGAGCTTGCTGATTGGCTAAACTGACTGACCAAGCGAGCCATACTATCAATTTAGATTATGCTGTGAACAATATTTATTTTTTCTATATATGAATATATTTTAATCGTATTTGCCATTCTCGTGCCACGTTTATACATTTTATAAATTTGTAATCATAGCTGATGAGCATGAGACCCTGGGAACCAATCAACACGAGCGTTACAAATATCACTGTATCCGCCATGTTATGTTTATTGTCAGGCACTTAGTGATTCATACCTTTGGATTTGCCGTAAGGTTGAAAGGTAACACAGGTGAAATATTTTTCAGTACTCAATATCAAGAGAACTACATTATGGTTTTAATTTCTACGTTGTAGCGGTGTGTTATAATGAGTGATCAGCGAAAACGCCGAGTGAATTCAGCGGGGAAATGCAGGCCGAATAGCACTAGTGACAACAGGAAAAACGATAGAGAAACTGTAATCGGGACGAACTCTGCCAGTAGTAGGACGAAAATATCCCCCAGTTCGTCGAATTATAAGGTAAGAATGTGTTGTATGAATATGGTGTTGTTACATGTGCATTCTTTTCGTTGTCATGGTACAAAATCAGCGTGGCTGGTCAACTAAAAATATCGAACACAAGTCAAATGACCCGCGCTTCTTGCCTCAAACTTGACCCAGTAAATAGTATTCGTCTTCACATTGTTTAACGGATCATGAACGAGAGGTTTACCTAGACGTGTTTGTCACCTTGATCAGCCGGCGGAATTCGTATTTGCCGCTGTTTATTTACATTTTGTTCATGAGCAGTTTGATAAGCAACACATTTTCGGTTAATTTCTAATCCTATACAAATAAATGATATTGCCCGTATCACGATCAACTACAACGGATCTGTCCGTGCAAGCATGACATGTCTGTCGATCACACGACCTAAACATTGTCATGTTAGACACTGACGTCAGATGGCTATTTTCTGATCTGACCTCAATACAGCTGGTATATACTAGCTCATAACATTTGAATCAGCTGATGCTCAGTCGATGCTTTCCGCAAACTATGTTGGCCATCGGCCAGTAATTATCTTACGTAGAAAGAAATGCATTTGTGAACAAGCGAGTGTGGTCACAGTTACTGAGAAGTCATGGTGAGTTCTGTAGTTTTATGTCTACAGCCAAAACTGTGTTTTTACCACATCCAAACAAATAGGTCATCACTTTGATTAGATGTATACATGTATATATTTTGAAACAATTCTTTTCTTGAAGTCAAAGGCAAGTGTGTAGTATAGTACTAGTATTCATAATTGTTTATTTCTATTCCACATGCATGGTACATGTATATTGAAAAAAGGAGAAATTGATTTTTTGTTGTTGTTGTTAGTAGAAGTACATTCGTAGTTATAGTTATAAGTAATAAAGCATAAAAATATTAAATGAAAATATAACTTGATTCATTTGACTTCAAGCCTTAGCAACAGTCATTGACTTAGTATTGTTTACATTATTTGAATGTATTGCATGTTGTGTACTGAATACTTGCCTCAGCAGTCATGTACAAAATTGAATTTGTTTACCGTGTTGTCAGCACTATTCTGTCTGCCAAACCCATTCAAGGTCACTTGTAGGACCTACTGTGGGTGTCATGTAAGGTGGTATCTGTCCAGTCACATGGCCCTTAAACTATATTTGTACATTCAGTTTATTGAACCTTTATAGTTCTTCCTTCTAGTAAAGTATCCAGGCACGTATACCGCTCATTCCACTCAGATTTAGTTACATTTCACAAGACTTATCCCATTATAGGTGTTGCTGGAAGAGTATAAGCTTAATTAATAGCTAACTGTATTCCAAGCTCATAAAAACTGGATAACCATTTTATTCAAGTATTTCAAGGTCACTAATAAAAACTACAGAGATCACTTTTTAATGCTGTAGGTCACTTACATATATGTTAGATGATATCATGGCAAGTCAGGGTTACAATTTCAGTTACTAACTGATGGCAGTAGGACCATCAATTTATATGTGATCAAATTGAATTTTTAATAGATATTATAAAGACACTTTATTGCAGATATAGTCCAAAGTTGTAAAAGCATTATGCCTATGGATCCTACTGTCTTTTCTGAAAGATCACGCTGGGCAATGTTTGAAATATTAGGTCATTATTTGGGAAATTACCCAAACCGTTTTAGCATTTTTTTCTTAACATTGTTTATACAGCCCAGCATCAACACACGCCTGCTTTTTAGCTCCGCTATCGACTTTGTCGAGCAGAGCTTATCATATGAGTGATTGTCCGGTGTCCGTCGTCCGTGTCAATGTTTTACATTTTCAACTTCTTCTTGAAAACTACAAGTCTGAATGCTTTGATACTTGGTGTATATGTACCTTGGGTAGACCTCTCTCAGATTTGTTCACTTCATGATCATATCTTCAATTCTCTAATTTTGGTGAATATTTTTGTCATTTTTGGTAAAAAGTGATATTTTCGACATCTTGTTAAAAACCGCAAGTCCAATTGCTTTAATATTACATATATAGGTACTACATGTGGATCTCTCTCAGATTTGTTCATTTTGTAATGATATCTTCAATTCTCTAATTTTGGTGAATATTTTTGTCATTTTTGGTAAAAAGTGATATTTTCGACATCTTGTTAAAAACCGCAAGTCCAATTGCTTTAATATTACATATATAGGTACTACATGTGGATCTCTCTCAGATTTGTTCATTTTGTAATGATATCTTCAATTCTCTAATTTTGATGAATATTTTTGTCATTTTTGGTAAAAAGTGATATTTTCTTCTTGTTAAAAACCACAATCATTTATGGTCAAAAATGATATTTTTGAATTCTTGTTGAAAACAGCAAGTCCTATTGCATTGATACTATGCATATTGTTCATTTTCTAATGATATCTTCTGTTCTTTAATTGAAATGTGCATTGCTAACAGCTGAGCTATCTCAGCCGAGAGGCTGCTTGTTTCATATATTATTTTGATCTACACTTGATAATGTAAAAAATAATTTATGCACCTAATTCATTTAAAAATACTAATTATTTAATGTATCATATCAATTCATTGTGTTCAAAAAAGCATGCATTTTTATGCAAAACATAGCTTGAAAATAATTAAAAACATGTTTTAAAATGTGACATCCCATAATGTATGTATTACTGTACATCTCTGGTGATTTCAATAGGAGATCGCAACACATTGTACCAGTGACAATTTCAACGAATCAATCATTTTCTTTACTCATGATATAAACTTAACTACAGGCATGTGGCAAGGACAAAAAGTGCTTTTAAGCAATACATATAGATAGTCACATTTCCTCAGTAAATGTAGATGAAATTAGGAAGCTCTCAGCTTGGTACCATGTTGTTGTAAGTTCATTGCTACTATATATGAATGCATGAATTTAACATCTTTGATTGGGTAGCTGCTTGACAGATCGATGAAGTGCTCAGTAATTTTGAATTTCTGATTTTGTCTAAATTATTAAACAACAAACTTGGCATTTATATATTTTTGGGTTATGAAACAGGAGTACTTAGTTTTTTGAATGTCAATTTTGGGCGTAACTTGAATGTCACAGTTTTATTTTTTGGCAGTTTTGCAAACATTCTACAATCTCGTTAAACCTACGAATGCTGATTTGAAAAAAATATTATTTTTACTACTGCATTAGTTTTTGTAATATTTATTTGTTTTTGCTGCACCAAAATATTACCAAGGTGCTAAATAATCACCCATGGACAATCTTTCGCAGTAGACGATGTTTCAGATAAATACTGTAGATGTGAAACACTCCTGTTGGCAGACTGAGTGAAAGGCTCAAGATACCGGTATATTGTATGTACTGTAATTTTGCATGACTAAACCTTGCCAGTGACATAACTGCTAGTACATGAAAGGAACCAATCAATAGGTCAATGGTCATCCCAGAATAACTGACAATGAGTACAGTCAGTTTATCATGGTTTCCATGGGATACTAGGACCCAGTACCGGTACACTAGCAATAGTTTCTCATCTTGATTTGTTGCCTAATATGGAGGTATGTAATGTGATTTTTACCTGGAAGTCAAACCCAATAGCGCTCAGGTTCAAACTAAAATTCTAACAAAAATTTTTTTTTTTTTTACGTCACCACACCAAAGTCAAAGTTTAAAGGCTTAATATGCCAAGTATATTTACCCACTGATTTTTCTCACAAGAAGCTATGGTCATATACAATGTATGCTACATGCCTGACATCCAAATGATCAGTTAAAGCACCAGTTTTGGGAAAAATCTTAAATGGCGATGATATCGTGTGACTGATCCAAATTATTTGTTTGCTATCTGAAGGAGTTCAAGTACAATGTATAAACATTGCAAATTTTTAAAATAATCAGTATCAGTTGTAAAAAATTATGTGGCAGTATGGCAGTAGTTAATACCAACTATGCACATTTATCCATGATCTGCACTCTAATAGAATCCCTCGTAATGTGTGTGACTATTTCTCTTTCCCAGAACACAACTATAACACTAGATTTTCAAATAATTTTTCGCTTCCTAGAAAACAAACTAGCTTGGGACAATCATCTATTGACTACCAGGGAACTACACTTTGGAATAAGTTACCATCACATTAAAAAAAAATTACAATCAAAAAAGCTTTAACAAATATTTAATAACTGAACACATGATTTCTGATGATTAGCTCTGACTCTACATTAGTTTGTATTATGATTTAAAACATACTCATTCTAGATATTCTGGTATATTTATTTGTTTATTTATTCATTCTGTAAAACTCTGTCTTATAAAGTTTCATTAATCTCTGTTGCTTTTCTAATCATTCATTTCTCAAATAGTCTTTTATAATGTCTTCACCATATACTTTTATAATGACCTCACCATATACTTTTATAATGACCTCACCATATACTTTTATAATGTCCTCACCATATACTTGTATAATGTCACCATATACTTTTATAATGACCTCACCATATACTTTTATAATGTCCTCACCAT